ATCAAAAAAATCGCCGAATAAAAGGTTAAAACCTAGGTACGGTACAAGAGCAATACCTCATTGTCAGTGTCACTCCAGTGGTAAATTAAGTTATAAAGCTAAACATGGTTAAGTGGTAATTAAGACAATAACTAAGTCCCGGTTAGGGAGAGAATGTTGGGAAATAATGATATAGGTAGTGGGAAAAGGGTTAGTTTCATAATGTACTTAAAATTTTATATTAAAAACGATGAATTTATAAAATTTTAAAAATAATAAAAATAAATTACAAATATAAAAAGATATATACTAATTCAAACTTTTTAAAATAACGATTTATTACCCTCGTCCTCTTCAACGTTGGTTTCCCGTCAGCTGACATGAATGTGACATTGGGGAGAGAGATTTATATACCGGGATTGCCAAATCCCAAGAAAATAAAATTGTTTATTATAATAATGGTTGATGGACGGTATCCCATGATACATACCTTGCCCTGTCCCTCATCATGGTTCGGTTTGAAAAGAAATTCAGGCTACTTGAACGGTGAGATTAATTACATTAATTTTTTAAAAAAATGATGGTGATATTACTTATTATAATAATAAAATTAAATTATTAATAAAAATATGTATTGAAATTCAAACATAATTTTAATAAAAACGTGAGAGTAAAAAATTATTATTAATAACATTAATGAATAGACTAAAAATTATATATAATATACGTTTTAGATTATTTAATATTTATAAATTATTAAAAATTTGTCACATTATAGTTTTATTAATATAATAATCATATGTATTATAATGATAATACTTTTATTAATTCAAATGTGTTGGTGTTTATTTTTATGGTGTATTTTAAAAATTTATGTTAATGTTTCACAAAATAATTATTTTAGTTTTTATTCTTTTTCTTAAAGTATTTTTGTTTTAATGTTTCTTTTTAAGATAAAAGTTTTTGATGAAAATCATATTAAAAAATAACGTACTGAAACATATCACAAGTAATTTTATTTTTATTAAGTAAATATTAAAAATTATAATGATTTATTTAAAATTAATTATAATTTTATTATAATTTTATATTAAAAATAATAATTAATTTAAGTAATTTAGTTTGTTTAAAATTAAGATTTTTAAGTTATATAAGTTTGAACTTACTATTAGCATCAATCACCGTCGACGACCACCTTAACTTGTCGAAAAATCAATTGCTACAACAGACATCTCTTTCTTTTGTCGTCGCCCAGTTATTTTTAATAAAAAGGATAAACTACACGTTTAGTATCTAAACTATTACTTTTGTTCTGTTTTAGTACCTTAATTTTCAATTTTTTTTCAAAATTATACCTAACGTTTACTTTTTGTTTCATTTTAGCACATCGTCGTTAAAAAGCTAATGGCAACGTGGTATTTTTTTTATTTGGGTAAACTACACAGTTCATCACTCTACTATCTTCTCACTCCTAGTTTAGTCACTAAAATTAAAATTTTTTGAATTTAATCATTAAAATTTTGAATTGCTTCTATTTTGATAATCTCTAATGATGTGGACTATATTATTATTATTTTTAGTGTGACATGATAAATTAATTAATATTAAGATTTAAAATAAAAATAAAAATTTATAATTTTAATCTAACCCTTAATCCCCAAACCCCAATCATCGATTCAAACCCCAACCTCACTAACATCGCCCTTCGACCACCACATAAGAATTCATTGAAAATTTGTTTGCAAACCGCAAACAAATGAACATAGAGAAACAAATTTAATTGTCAATAATACAACAACCACCATCAGCTTCACAAAGACAAGTTAAGGCTCAATACCCATAATTGAAATACACAAAAAGCTCAATTTTTTTATATAAAAACAAAAATAACAACAATAAAAGGCAAAACACATGAAGTGGATGAGAATGAAGCTGCCATCTATGCTTCCTCATTTCCTCTTAAAATGTTGCAGTTCTAGAAAAAAAAATAAAACTAGAATAAAGAAGAGATAAAAATTATGAAACAAAAACAAAACAAAAAATCAAGGTTTCTGCTTATACTTATTTTCTTACTGTAGACACTCATTTTCGTCCGTATTTATTTATTTATTTATTTATTATATATTATATAGTTTGCAAATGATTTTTGAAATATATATACTATATATAATTTTGAAAATGATTTTTTGAAAATGTATATATTATATAATTTGAAATCATTTTGAAAACTTATATAATATATAGTTTTTAAAAAACATTTTGAAAACTTATATAATATATGATTTTTAAAAAACATTTTGAAAATTATATAATACATAGTTTTTAAAAACATTTTGAAAATATAAAATATATGGTTTCTAAAACATTTTGAAAAAAAAATGGTTGTCCCTTGTTGACCACCAATATTCTTTATTATCTTATAATTTTCTTATATTACATATTTATTTTCTTTCTTTTTTTCTTCAATAAAACTGTTTGTATGACACATTTTCATTTGTCTGTATTACACATTTTCTTGTGCCTTATGGCACTTTTTCGATCGTTTGGTCTTTGTGTTCACTCATATTTTTCTAAGGGTTGATTAGACACCATCACGACATATCAAGATGGCGCTTATTTGTTATATTGTTGATCTTCCCTGATTTGGATCCTCATATTGTATTTGGATACTTGTTATGCGTTCATGTATAGCTTTTCACGTCGCTCGAGTATAATTTATGGTTTGTCGGTGGTCTTTCAATAGCTTGATCTCCTTTTGTGATTCGTTTGTCGATGCGATCAGATCTGTTTGTAGGGGTGTAAATAAACAGAGCGTTCAATGAACTGTCTGTGAACCGTTTGTATAACGTTCTTTTGTTAAGCTAAATAAACGAGTATGAACAAAAAAATTTATGATCATTTAATAAACGAATGAACACGAACAAATGTGTGTTAGGTTCGTTTATGTTCACGAACAAGCTCATTTATGAACTCGTTTATCGACTCGTTCATTTATGTTAATTAACAAGCTTGTTTACCGAATTCTCCTTTTCCTTTTTTTTACATTTTAAATATTGGTGTAGGACTAAATTGAACACATGGTAAAAGTTAAATTTTAAACTGTGAGTTTTAAGGAGTTTAAGCTCTATTGACTTAATTTTACCATTTTCTTTAGCTTGCAAATAAAAGAGTAAAACTTAAAATTGAATTGAACGTATAAACAAATGGTAAACGAACGTTAAATAACAAACATGTTCGTGAACATTAAATGAACGCGTTTTTGAATATATAAACGAACATGTTCGCGAACAATAAAGAACATGTTCACGAACAATAAATAAACAAACAAGAACACCTTCAAAAATAAATAAACAAATACGAACACGATATTAAAAATTTAAACAAACACAAATACGATCCGAACATGAACATGAACACCTTAAAAAATAAACAAAGAAACAACAACATTTATATTTGTAATTTTTTTAATTTTGAATTTGTAACCATTATACCGTTTAGGTATTTGTAAATTTTTTAATTCTGATTTTGAATTTGTTTATTATGATTCACGTTTTGCTAATTCTCAAAAAATTATATTTGAGTTTGAAAGTAGTTAGTGGATATCTAAATATTTGATTTTTAAAATTATAATTTTATTTAAAAATTTCGATCCGATATGCTCCTAAATGTCAAACAAACCTCTCCCCCGATGGATTTATAATTATGTATTAAGCAGTGCTTGACTAATTCCTTCAATCTTATAAATTTATAAATAATATAACTCTTGTTTAAGTTTAAACTATATCCTCGACATGATCATAAATTATTTATTTACTTGTATATATATGATTCTAGGTATCTAATTAATAATTTAATACACCAGTAAACGATTACAATATGATTTAGTTGACAAGAATAATATGGTTTATTAACATAGAGGTCATGGTTAGACATGGTATAACAGAAACAAAACTATTTCACTCGGATATCATATTCAGTTACTATATACATCACGTCACAAATAAATAATGAATTTTATTATTATTATAATTTTATATTTTTTTCATTATAAACAAAAGTTTGGACATAGATAAACATATGCTTTTATGTGTATTTAAAGAGTGTGGAATCACAAAATTTTAAAAAGGATGGAAATTAAACTATCAATGTGAAATACAAAAAGAAATATGAAATTTTAAATTTTTAGAAACATCCTAACACCTCCTTGATCTGTTCTCAATCTAAAGGTTCCTTATCATAAAATAAAGATATAATATTAAAATTAGTCTTTAACGATTATCAAAATAAGTATTTTTTTAGAGTATTTTTGTCTCTCCATCGTTTCATTTTAGATAAAAAAAATCTATGACGTTTAATTAAATAATTACTTTGATCCTTATTTTTCTTTAAATTTTGACTCTCAATAATTCATTTTAGTAAAAACAAATATCCTATTTTAGAGCATTAACAGTTTGTTAATTAATTATTTCTATTTAAAAAATTTTTAATGTTGAGACTAAAATAATCTAAAAACAAATATAAATTAAAATAGTAATTTAATGGAATGTTAACAGTATTTTTTAACGTTATGCCATCAACAAAACTAGTAGTCGGGATCTCAAACCTCAAAATCAGCTATGTATGATTAAATCACAACAACAGAACATAAGTAAACACCATTTAATTTAATTGAATGGCTAGAATGAAGTCGGTTTCCACTCTTCTGCAGAACAATCATTAAATGTACCAATAATGAAATAGCTAGTCCTTGGAACCAAACACCCTATTAGTTTTTTCTTCTTCTTTTTTCCCCTTTCAATTTGCCAATATAAGTAATAATTCTCAATTTCTTTCTCTCTTTCTTTTTTTTACTTTTACCATCCCCACATCTCTTAACAGAAACAGAAAAAGGAAGGAGACAAGAGTTTCAGGCCATCACCAATAACTAAAACATCGAACAAAGAAGAAAGAGGTTCAATTTGAAATTCACTGTAAAAAAAAGAAGAAGGAATAATTAGTGTAGTAAAGAAAAAGATGAAAATTGTGTTTGTTTGCTTACTTTGTTTCAACAAAATGGAAAGCACATGAAAGGCTTTCCACTAAGACACCCTTTCTTTTGCAGGTTAGGCTTAGCCCAGCAAATTCATGGCCATACTCTCTTCCCTTCTCTTATCTTTTCTTCTCTGCTAAAAAAACAAACTCAGAAAACAAAACCCTTTGTTTAAGCTAGCTTCTTTTTATTGTCTATGGTGGATCTGATGCTGAATTAGCCCCAGCTTTGTAGATCTTCTCTGACTGGGCCGTGAAAACGGAAAATATTTAAAGGAAATGGATTTTGAGGAACAAGAAGAGCAAGAGGAGGAAATGGGTGTGGCCGTTCCACTTCCACCAGGCTACGACTCACTCGGCAACTCATCAGCTGCTCGGTCCAAGATAGGACCCCTTAGCGGCCCCGAAGGTGGGGCGGCTTCGGCAACTCCGAGAAAAGTGGGGTCCGGTATAAGGTACCGTGAGTGTCTCAAGAACCATGCGTTGAGTATCGGAGGACACGCGGTGGATGGCTGCGGCGAGTTCATCGCCGCGGGTGATGAAGGGACCCTTGACGCCTTGAAATGCGCTGCTTGTAACTGTCACAGGAACTTTCACCGTAAAGAAACTGAAGGCGAAGGCAGTAATATTTATATCCCTCCGCACCACCACCACCACCATCATCAGCATCAACACCTCCAATTTTCACCCTACTATTGGGCGCCGCCTCCGGCCGGGTATCTCCACCTGACCCGAACGCCGCAGAAAAGGTCTTTGGCCTTGCCAGCGGCAACGGGAGGTGGTATTGCCGGTGCCTACAGCAGAGAAGATGAAGATGTTTCGAATCCTAGTAGCAGTGGCGGTGGAGGTGGAGGTGAAGGGAGTGGAGGATTAAAGAAGAGACTTAGAACAAGATTTACGCCGGAACAAAAGGATAAGATGCTTGGTTTCGCTGAAAGGCTCGGGTGGAGGATTCAAAAGCATGATGAAGCTGCTGTGGAGCAATTTTGTGAAGAAACCGGGGTGAAAAGGCAAGTTCTTAAGATCTGGATGCATAACAACAAGTACACTCTTGGTAAGAAACCCTAATCTCCAACCAAAAGAAAATGCTTCAAGAATGTTACCCAGGAAGAACAAGAGCATCAAAGAAGCATACGATAATGGGAATTTTCTAGGGATTGAATTAGGGTTTTTACCTTTCTTTCTTTTTTTGTTTTTGAATCTGATTTTGATTTAGTTTCTGTTATTATTATCAGTGGTGATCAGTGTAGGATGGTGATGATGATCTGAAGTTTCTGAAGAGTGCATTGTTGCTAACTGTAGTTTTCTTTTTTATTTTAAGAGTTGTTTCAGCTCATTAAATATCTCATTCTTCATTAACTAATTTTAATCCACCATTTTTCATCTCTTACATATAAATATAGTTGCATTTCTCTGTGATCAAATTTGCACTTTTAGTTTAGATTTTACTAAGATGATGAACGTCAACTGATCAAGGGTTTTTTTGTAAGTTAATATAATGTGATCATGATAAAAGTGAATTAAAAAATGTTTCGCATGCAAAGCTGGAACATTTTCTCTGTAATATAATCTATATTAATTGTATGGCTTTTCTGTCACTATAATTAATTCGCTTCAGCTGATATTTTGCAAACTCTTAAACACACTTTCTCCCACTGAACAAATCCTCAAAATCGCCATTAAGGAAAAACTTGAAAAATGTGCTTTATATGATGCGGGAGTTGGTTATTTTAATTTACATTTTTATAATTTTGTAATTACCCATCTTCCATTTATAATTTCTCCTTTCATTTTTCATGTTTCTTTAATTTCCTTGTTATATATCATGACTTCACCTCGTATTCTTCTTTTTCATTTTTGTGAAGTGGTTATACACATAGAACCATGGCAGAGAAGCACACAGTGAATGCCAGTTTTATGGCGTTTTTACCGAAATATAATCCTTAGAGCAATAATTACCTGTCAGACATTTTATCTCGAAATATTACTGATCTAACACTCTTTCTGACACGGTGGCAGTAAAACGCAGATCGTTAGCCATGCCTTCACGGGATTCTGTCCGAGCTGACGCCACGTAAAGAAAGGCGGGGATGGCGTGACTCTTACACGTGCGGAAGGCGCGGATTTAATTCCCCAACCGTTCGTCTCTCACATTGATTACTACCCGTCTTCCCTTCCCCCTCTTCCTATAAATACCACACTCAACACAACCCTTAAACCACACTCAAATATCAAATTCTCTCATTCTTCTTATTATCAATATTTCTATTAAGAAGGTAAAATATTTTTATTATATTATTTAATAATTTATTATTTTATTAAATTTTATTGTACTAATTTTTATTACATTTTGCAGTTATAAAATGAAAGACGGGTTGCTACGTTTAGATGAGAATCATATATCGAGGCATTTTGTCAACACGGTAACAATTTTAAATTATGTTGTTATTCTAATTATTGTGAATGTTTTATTTATTAATTTTTTAGTATTAATTTATATTTTAATTTGTATACTATTTATTAAATTAGGAGAGAGACCGTATATTAGATCCATTCATTCGTAACGTTAAGTTAAAGATACCTACTCGTGTCTGACTGTATTTAGCCGATGTTAGATTTGGTTACGTAGCGAAATATGAAGGGCACTGTAACCTTCAACCCAACCTCATTTCTGCACTGGTTGAGAGGTGGAGACAAGAGACACATACATTACATCTTCCGTGTGGAGAGTGCACTATTACGTTGAAGGATGTTTTCATACATTTAGGGCTTTCGGTAGATGGGGATGTGATTTATGGGGTAACGGATAATGACTGACATTCCTTGTGCTAGGAGTATCTTGGAGGTGTCCCGCCTAATTTCAACGGTGGTCGAACACCGTTAAATTGGTTGGATACAACTTTTAAACATTTGAGTCGCGACGCCACCGAGGAACATGTTAAAATGTATGCACATGTTTGCATTTTACATCTCATAGGAGAGATCCTGATGCCAGACAAATCGCGCAACCAAGTTCATTGTATGTGGTTGCGTCACCTTGCATATTTTCATGTTACCATCGCACTTTGTTGGGGCTCTGCAGTTTTGACATTTCTATATAGGGAAGTGTGTCGAACAACTGATTATCGAAAAAATGCTATCGACAGATGTCTCATTCTTCTCCAGTATTGGGCGTGGTATCAAATATTCTTTTTATGTTCGATCGTGAAAAACTTGTTGGTCTTCTCACTATTGTTGATGTAATTTCAGTACTGAATTCATATATAAATAATTTAGTTGAGTATATAATGAAAATTTTTCATTGAATATAATTTTGTTGAACTTGATGAGATGACACCATGATGTGGATTTCTCATTAACGAATTAAAATCATTACACATTACTTGAGTTATAGTGGGAGCATAATGACATGCCACGAACCGCAAGCACTTCAACAAATGTCGCATACATATGTGTATCGACGTCTGAATATTGATTCTGAGAATCAACCATCATAGCAACATCATCACTTTTGGAGAGTTCGAACGATGTATAAGTTAAGGGAAATATTGCGGTTGTAAATCTGTACTGAAGTGAGAACAGTCTTCTAATACTTTCAACATGAACTTTTCTTGAAATTTTAGTGATCAACTCTTCAAGAGTGATGTTTCTCTTGAAGGATATTCTGACAGAATGATTTGATGCGAAGACGACGCCGGTTTCATCTTCCCGAATTTCTCTATCATAGTAAACAATAGCTAAAATACGAGTCATTTTGAGAGTTTAAAAGATTAAGAGTCTTATATCGCAAAAACAATAGTTGAAATATGCCTAATTAAATAAATAGTATATGAATTAAAATATAAATTAATTCAAAAAATTTTGCAAAATTTCTCAATAATTTAAATAACGCAATTTCATATTGTTACCGTATCGGTAAAATGTCTCGAGGTATGATCATGCTTTACAATTTTACAACCGCAAAAAATAATACAAAATAATTAGTACAATAAAATTTATTCAAATAATTAAATATAAAATAAATATAATATAATAAAAATAGTTTTACCTTATAAAAATAATAACAAAATTTACTTAGCTTGATAGAAAAAATCGATAGAAGTAAGAATAAACAAGTAATTTTGGGGTGGTTCTGTTTGTATTCAGAGGGGTTGTTATTTATAGTGGAGGAGAACGTTTAAAAGTTGAGTTTTCAAGCTTGAATAATAATTGAATACCAATAATTCAACGTGCATAATGGAAGGTACGTGTCACAGGTTTAGCGAAGGCGCAGATGGCAATCCGCGTCATTCCTTACGTGGCACCAGCTCGAACATAATCCCGCGAATGCACGGTTAACAATTTGCGTTTTATTGCCACCGTGTCAAAAAGAGTGGTAGATCTATAATATTATGAGATATATATTTGACATGTAATTATTGGGTTAAGGGTGATATATCTGTAAAAACGACCACTTTTATTGCAGTGTTTCAGACATGAGTCAGACTTCTTCCGACAACCCTTGGGTTCCGCGGATGGCTCGTTAAAAACACCTTTTTATTTTTATTATTTTTTAAATAATTAACAAATTAATCCCATAAACAACCATGTTTAAAATCATAAACAGAGAGAGTTTAAAATCAGAAATGTGTTTTTGTGGGGAAGGAACTGAACATGTTTGATGTTGGGGAAAGTCCAGTAAAGAGCAGATGGCATATTGGAGAGTTGAAGCTGTCGGAAATAAGAGTTTCAAATTGGTTTTAAGTTTGGGGGTTTTCTTTTTGGTTGGTTTTATGCTGCTTTTGGGTTTGTCCCTGTTGAGGGACATGTGGACTCTCCGTCTCGAAACAAAAGTAGACTGGAACAATATTTATACTTGCACTGACATTACAGCTATCACATATCTTCTTCAATCTTAACCCTCCATAAAACGGGTCGTTCTGCGGTGCGGCGCCTAAAAAACGGCTAATATACGGCGTGACCGGTTAAACAAGTGACCGGTTAAAATTTAGACCGGTTATGTTATATTATTTAACCGGAAATATTATAAAGTACAATAACATACTAGGTAGCGCTTATATAATGTAATAGGTAGCGCTTATATTTACCTATTTTATAAGTAAACCGGTATATTTATACCGATAGCATTGCAAATTTACCTATTACATTATATTATATTGAAAGTGTCCATACTTTTTATAAAAAGGATCGATACTTTAACAGTGTTTCATGTTTTCCACCTACAATATTGATTTAATAATTTCATTTGCACAAAAAATTATTTGATTGTTTTGATATTTTATAAAATATTATTTAGAATTTTTAATTTAATAATAATATATACCGTAACGTAAAAAATAAATCATTAGACGCCTATAATTACTAAATTAATATCTTAAAACTCACTCAAAAGATAACCTTAAATTAATGTTTTCCACAGTGAAAAAAGTATGGACACTTTTATAAAAAGGATAGACACTTTACAATATAACCACTACCTATTGCTTGGCATCATATGAGATTTGGATTTTGATTTCCTTTTGCTTGGCACCATATGAGCTTTGGATTTTGATGAGCATCGGAAGTATTTCAGACTTATGATTTGGGTGGTACTCAACTTATGATTTTAGTTGCTATTTGTTACATTTCTTGTATACCATCCAGATCATACGCCCGAAACGTTTCTGACGCTTTAAAGTTGACCAAAAAATAAAATGGTCGGGATTTCCCTCGCGTTTATACGTTGGAAAAAAAACAATGGAAATTAGGAATAATCAATGATAACATGCATATTGGCTTGGGCTAATATTTATAGTGGAGCCGAAATATATATTGAAATTCAAACTCAAATTGAAATTTAAATTCAAACTCCAATTACATATGAAATGAATTTGAAATGCAGTGTTAAATTGAACATGAAAATTGCATAATTGATTCATACTGTTCAAGTAACATGCTTTATGAACCATCAAGCTAAAAGACAATATTGATTGAGTTCAAAGCTGAGTTGTGAGTTGATGGAGTTGTCACACTTGTCACATGGTTGGAATAAAGTACTCACATGCGAGATAGATACCTATTACATTATATAAACGATACCTATTACATTATATAAGGGCTACCTATTACATCATATGTTTACCTATTATATTGAAAGTGTCCATACTTTTTATAAAAAGGATCGATACTTTTTTTAAAACTTATGTAATTTATGTTTCAATTTTTTAACAGTGTTTCATGTTTTCCACCTACAATATTGATTTAATAATTTCATTTGCACAAAAAATTATTTGATTGTTTTTATATTTTATAAAATATTATTTAGAATTTTTAATTTAATAATAATATATACCGTAA